GGAAGAGGGGGCGTGGTGGTGGGAGGGAGGGGACAGGACGAGAGAAGAGGGGGACGGCAAGGGGAAAAAAGGTTGAAGATCGGATCGGCGGTGGAGAAAGGATGGCGGCGGGTCAGATCGGTGCGAGCGCTGAGATCCCAGCCGCAGTGGGGTACATGGCCAAGGTGCCTGGAAAGCGATCGCTTCTGACAATGGACACTGGGGATGGGATTCTGATTCTGCCGAGTACCAGATGCAGCATCACAGACAAAGAAGGTAAAGATGCTGACGTCAACGTTGATGTGGAACCGTCCAAGAGAGTGAAGCAGTCGGGTGATGCGGAAGACGCACCAATCGATGAGGAGAAGAAGGAGGAGGAGGAGGAGGAGGAGAAGACTACGTGGGTTGACCGTGATCCTGACGGGTTGCACTCGATTGCAACGGAGCCACGTGGAAGAAAGACGAGCAAGACACGGAAGAGAGCCGAGATGGTCGAAGGAGGCACATGTGTCGCTAGACGGCTGCGATTGCGAAGTCATTCCGCCGTCGTTGATCTTTCTACTGCTGACACAGCGATGGACGTCACACCGGTCCGGTGTTCTGGCGCTCGAGGAGAGCCTCCTCCCCTCGATCCCGATCGGAATCCCGAACCTGATCCCGATCCGAATCCCGAGCGGAATCCAGGTCCTGATGATGCAGTTGCAGCCATGGGCGACGATCCGGCTGCTTCTGGCGATGGCGTGCTTGACAAGGGTGGGAGCTATGGTGATCGTGCGACCAGAGCGGGTGCCGTTCGGTACACAGGTGGAAGGCGACGAGCATATGCAGACGAGAATGGCAAAGACGATGCAGATTCAGATGCAGCGGGAGTCGCAATCTTCAGGCAAGGCGAAGAGGAGAGGGTGGTGGAGAGGAGGGAAGACGAGCAGATAAGGTCCGGCAGCCGCTTCCTCCGCTCTTCTCGTCGGGGTGCCAGCGATGGTCGGCTTCATGATGCAAGCAGCGAGATCGGGAGATCGAGGAGGAAGATGACGGTGGAGGGAAGGATGAAGAAGGATGAAAAGCCCGGCCTGGCAGACGAAGCGGTTGTACGAACGGTGGCCTTGCCCGGATTGGTGCAGCAGCAGCCGTTGTGGTCCCACGATTCGCGGCGGCAGCTTCGCGGCCGAGTTCTTGCGGAAGACGATGGTCGCGATGGTGGGTCACTAGAGAGGCCAGCGAACGGCGGAGATGTACCCGGGCCCAGTTCCTCGCTAGCACGAAAGGAAGGGCAGGAGAAGGAGAAGGAGAAGGAGGAGGGGGAGGGGGAGGAGGATGAGGAGGAGGAGAAGGGGACAGAAAGGAAGGGAGATGAAGGCGTGTCCGCTGAAGGCGATGAGCGTACGACAGCAGCAGGACAAGATGGGAACGGCGATACCGGATCGGTAGGCCTCAATCTGGAAGCCGAGGAGGGAGCTCCTCTTTGTCCCCCTCCTCCTCCTCCTCCTCCTCCTCCTCTTCCTCCTCGCTCTTTGCGCGCTGGCAATGGCACCGAACAGCGGAGACGAGGCGGCGACACGGCAACAGCTGCGACGAGAGAAGGAGGCAGCGGAGAAGAACGTGGACGTGACGTCCGTGCTGATCCTCGCGAGCGAAGCCGCGCAAGATTCTTGTCTATTGCTCGCAGCAGGGCTGCTTACTTTGCTCATTATCAAGAAAGGGAGGAGGAGGAGGAGGAGGAGGAGGAGGTGGTTGGAGTGGTGGCTCCGCTTCGCCAGCAGCAGCAGGAGGATGAGGATGAGATAGACAGAAACAGGGATTCTGCCGAAAGAGACTGGCCTGGTCCGTTCTCCACCGCTCGTCGTGTGGCGCGCGATCGTGCGCAAGCTCTGCGGAAGAGGCGCGATCAAGGCGCAGGCGGACTTCAGGCTTCCTCCTCGAAACGAGCCCCCCCMCCCCCCCCTGCTACTGTGGTGCAGTGGGTTCCTAAGAACCGCCACGTGTCATCGTTCTCGCCGAAGGGGAAATCGGTCGCAGAGAATGGGCATGGTGATGATGCAGTAGGATCGACTGGCGGGTGCAGGCGAAGGGCGCGAAGTGGAGGCGGGATCAGCCATTTGACCAGAGGCATCCCTCTCAGTTTGTTTGACTTGTGTGTCGAGGTTCTCTGCGACATGGCCGATGGATTGGGATCGCTGTACGGAATGCCTGACGTCGTACGGAAGAAAGTGTGCGCTGGCCTGTGCGCCAGAAGGAAGATGACACCGGAAGCGCTTCGCCTGTTCTTTGACGGCGAGCCCTCTGACGTGTATATTGGAGATTGCACGCTTATCTCTGAAGACGATCTGAGTGATGCCATGGCTCGATGCAGCGGCGAGCAACTGGAGGTATTAAGCATGAACCCCTTTTTTTTTTTTTTTTTCCCCTTTTTTCCTTTGTTGTTCTTTTTTTTTAATAATTAAAAAGCGGGCAGATTCCCCAAAAAAAAAAAAAAGAAAAAGAAAAAAAAAGTTGGCAGCCCATGACCTTTATTGCATGCACCGGTAAGGATTCGAACTCGAGTCTTTGGGCTCGGTCCACTACTCCCGAAATGTGCAAAACGAGAGTGAATCTTCCGCTAGATCATGGAAAGATACAGAGCCATAACTTTTGTCTTTTGTGCGTGTCGACAGTAGTGGAGCCAGGCGCCTTATCCAAACAGTTGCATGTGTGTAGCGTTTAAGCACGTGACGTGGGTGGAACGTGGGCGTGACCCACGTGACGTGGGTGGAACGTGGGCGTGACCGCGTTGGGGGGTTGTGGCTATGGATACCTACTACGGGTCTCGCTCCACTACTGACCAAATGTGCAAAATGAGAACGTATCTTCCGCTAGAACATGGGAAGATACACCACCAAATGTTGTCTTTTGTGCATGTGGAGAGTGATGGAGCGAGGCTCTATGTTATCTATGGACATCTGAGAATGTATCAAAAAAAAAAAAAAAAAAAAAAAAAGAATGTATCAGTCACCATCTACCTACCAGACGATGAAAGAATTTGAGGGAAGAATAAAGAGTAGTTCTAGGCTACCAGAGTGGCCCGGGGCAACTTGCCTAGCCGGGCCAAAAATAATTAGAAAAGAAAAAGAAAAATATTATTTTTAATTTCTATTTTTGTTTTAAATTTGGTAAAGATTTTTTTTTTTTTTTTTTTTGTAAAGAATTTCGATGTGACCCTGAGGCAAAAGTTATTCAGTTTATTTTTCTGCATCACATAGTTTGTTTGTTTTTTATGAAATTTTTGCTGGGCCCTTTCGTGGTCCTTGCACGGCCGGGCTGTCCGGTCAAACAAGGTGACCCGGGCGGCCAGGCATAGTTAAAAAAAAAAAGAAAAAAAGAATGGACCATTCAACTGACAGACGGACAATCCGATCTGGCCGCTGCAGAGCTACCCGTCTTCCCTGGAACACAACCCCCCCCGGCAATGATGAGCCTCGCCGCACCACTCTCTCCAAATGTGCAAATGAGAATGAATCTTCCGCTAAAACATGGCAATATACGCAGCCATTTTTGTTTTTTTGTCTTTCCTGCATTTGGTGAGTGGTGCGGCGAGGCCCGACGTCTGTATCTAGGCAGAAAGTTGCACTGATTACAGCTAGTGGCCGGGCGTTGTGTTCCGGGGAAGCAGGGCAGACTCGACATCCAGCTAGATTCTTGATTGAGTGGCTTTGTCATAACAGGAGGCGAGAGGGGGAGAGGTATATATATCTCTGAAAAAACGAATTATTTTTTTTCTTGTTTTCTTCTGTTTTTTTCCGCCTTTGCGCTCTGATATTCATGTGGCGATATATACTCCGACGTTGCTACCGTCTTCCCCCGAACATAACGCACCCTGAAAATGAACGTATGCAAGGCATGTTTCCGGCCTGATACAGTCAAAATGAGGGTGCGTTGTGTTCGGGGGAAGACGGTAGCTCTCTGCTTTTGTAGATGATGCGGCGAGCGTCCGGCCTGTACCAGCAGGTTCTTCTTTAGTTATGGTTGAAAATATTTTCCTAATTCTCTTGCTACCATTTCTCCTTTTTTTGCTTTATTCTTCCCCATTTATGGGGTATTTCTTTTTGTGGGCTTCTTTTTTTTTTTTTTTAAGTATGGATATGGTAGATTTGTTGTGGTGGGGTAACCTTGTCTGCATCCCGGTTGGTTTGGTCCCGTTGTTCGGTCTCGTAGCGGTGCTTTCATGTGGGACCAGTCATCCGGGTTCTTTTTTATTGTCTTGGCATCCTAGTTGGTTGCATCCCGTTGTTCGGCCTGTGGGAGAGGGCGGTGCTTTCATGTGGGAATCGTCATCTGGGATTGTCTTTTATGTTTTTTGCCCCAGTAAGAATGGTTTACAAATGGGAATACCCACGTCTTGATGATGACGAACAAGGCCATCTGCTGTATATAGATATGTCATCAGGGATTTTTCTTTTTTTGCAGACAAGAGTTTTGTCCTGGGTGGTCTTGTCCTGTCGTTTGGCCTGTGAAGGAGGGAGGGGCGGTGCTTGCATGTGGGACTTGTCATTTAGGATCCGTTTTTGGTGCTATTGCTTGTTGCCCCCTATTTTCTTGTATTTGGCTGTTCCCTTCCTCTTTTCTTTGCCTATTTGCCCTTTGGCTGTGTGGAAGTGGGTCGATATGACACACGGGGTGGGGGCAGCCGCCGCTCAACCTACATCCACGTGGGCGGCCTTGTATGCAAGAAGGAGGAAGGCCTCGGTTGAAATGATGTTTGAAGTTTATTTCAATTAACACAATTGTGTCGCATAAGTAGCGACCTGCACGAATGGTGTAACGACTGCCCCGCTGTCTCCAACATGGGCTCAGTGAAATTGAATTCTCCGTGAAGATGCGGAGTACCAGCGGCTAGACGGTAAGACCCCGTGCACCTTTACTATAGCTTTGCATTGACAACCTTGATTGAATGTGTAGGATAGGTGGGAGGTGGTCATCAGTGACTACCAAGCTTGAAATACCACTCTTTCATCTAAGGGTGTCTAACTGCCAAAACAATTGGTTTGGTAGAACCTTGCATGGTGGGTAGTTTATCTGGGGCGGATGCCTTATCTGGGGCGCTTACACAGTAATGTTAAAGGCAAATCTGGCTATATACTGAAACCTCCGCCGAGTATCCAATAATGAATGCGTCGGTGCGGACAATCAGCAGGGAAGGAAGTCTAAGACCGTAAAGCCTCAACGACTGCACGCCAGACATCCCATATATATAAGATGGGATGATGATACAGTCTGAAGGTTCTGAACAGGGGAAGTTGTAAGAAAGAAGATAAAAAAACGAACTCATTCTTTTTTCTTGTTTTCTTCTGTTTTTTTCGCCTTTGCGCTCTGATATTCATGTGACGATATGTCACAGCCCCTCGTTTGTTGTCCTCTTCTCCCTCTCTGCCTACGGTTTACTGGGCAGTTCTATTTGACGATATATTGGCGGAGAGGGGGAGAGGACACTAACCTATGGTGCGTGTTGAGAGACCTGTGCTGCTTTCTTTTCCCTTTCTCAATCCTCCTAACTCTTCTTGTCCTGCGTTCTCCTCCTCCTCCTCCTCCTCCTCTCTCTTTCTCTCTCTCTCGTGCATGCTCTCCTGAGTGCCATTACGGCTGTGATTTCCCGGCGCGGTTGCATTTTGCTGTGCATCTCCGATTTCCAGCATGACAGCTACGCATGCGGCTGTCCTCTCTTCTTCTACCTCCTTGTTCTTGTCGTTGTCGTGCATCTCCGTTGTCCAGCAGTACAGCTACGCACGTGCGTGGCTCGACCCTGTTTGCGCGCATGTATGATTGGTACGGTTATGCTTTTTTTTCTTTTTTTTTTTAATAATACTTCTTTGAGGCTTGAGCATTGAACGTTTTTTTTCTTTTTTAAGTGAACAATTCATTAAATTTCAACTGGAGGCCGGGGACCTCACAATTCAACCCGGAGTACTGACAGCATCAGCCAGCTTAGCTTACAGGTACTTAGCCTGCAGACCGGGCGTTCTATTTGGGTGAAGATGGGTACGGCCGGGGGCCTAAAGTTTTGTCCTTCTGACCATATCCATCTAGTAGCGGCTACTAGTTTTCTCAACAAAAAAAAAAAGAAGAAAAAGGAGTCAACTCAATGGGTAGAATGGACGTTGCTGTAAATGCTATCTGTGCAATGAACCGCAAGTCAGTCACCCTCAACCTCGCACACACATGCAACGAATATCCAGATGAGTATTCACACTTGGAGCTGATTGCGGAGACACAGAAATCTCGCGGGAAATTGATAAGCAAAATATCTTTATTATACAAAAAGAAAGTGTTCAGATCTCTTGCGGTCTCTGCCGCTCACACAGACTCAGCCTCGATTCAGGTATGTAACTGTCTACCCCCCCCCCTCTCTCTCTCTCTCTGTGTCTCTCTCTCAAGCCTTGTATCACCCAACCTCACAGTCTCTCTCTTCCTAGGTTCGTGCCCTGGATACACCCGCTCAGATCAGACTCCAACCTTGGCGGCTATGGCCGCTTTGCTTCCCGATCACGACCCTAGCTATGGTTGCCTTCGGCGCTCCCTTCTTCTTCAAGCGCGAACTTGCCCAAGTCGCTTGGTCACACAAGCGGAAGCAGCGCTTCCACAACTTCATGAATGAACAACGGTGTCCCGTTGCTGCACTGTAGCAACTAAATATAGGAAGTGGACTTGGCTTGGCTTGCCTCAGACTGGACCCGTACCGGTCAGCCTCGGCCTGTCTGCTGCAATCATTTTGTCGGTCTGGAATCTTCTGGGCTTTCGTGGGACTTGCTGCAATTTTTGTGGACTCTGGGACTGGACTTGGACTTTCCAGATTTTTCAGTGGGGTACCAGACAGCCGTACACGACTCAGACCCTGAGACTTTTCTGCTCGGTACTAGACTCTCAACCCCAACCTGTTTCCTGGCTCAGACCTACGATGCTTCAGTGGCCTGTCGGACCTACGACAATTTACTTAGCTTAACAGACCTACCCCTCACAACGCTGGGACTTAGGGTTTCAGAACCTTCTGGACTTTTGGGGGTTTGAAGCAGGCTTCCGGGGTTCTGCAGCGTGAAATCCTTTCATCTGCCTGCTGAGTTGACTCTTTTTTACTTTTTTTACTTTTTTTCTTTTTGAGAAAACTAAGGTAGTTGCCACTATTACTAGAGGGGGTGATAAGAGCAGCCTCCCCTAGTCGGTGGCCCCAATTGTTCCGGTCTCTACTAATCCTGCTGTGAAGACGTATTCTGAAAATTCAATCTTTTGAGCTAACGAGTTTTCCCCATCCCTTTTCAGGAAGATACATCAGCTACCAGCAAAGGAATTACACATTTTGACACCATCTGGCCTACTAGTAGTTCAGTTGGTGGAACTCCAGTGGAAACAGATGAGTAATACTACAACTCTGAATTACCTAGGGCCGGTCAGTTCGATGATGATATCTCAAGGCCGTCGCCTTTTTCAAAAAAAAAAAGACACTTTGACAACCGAGTTAGCCTGTCAGCCGAAAATGAAACCCACCACAAGCAATAATCGAGTCTTAAAAAAAATAAATTAGAAAAATGATCCAGTCCAAACAATCCTCATTAGTCCCCCCCCCCCCCCCCCCCCCCCCAACACACAGACACACAGGAAAAGAAAAAAGGGGAAAACTAGGGTGCAGTAAGGTCTTCAGTTTAAACTGCATTTTGGTCACGGTTTCACGAATGTTGCTCCCAAAGTGAGGAAAATAGTGAATGTATCCAACCCAGCTTTAGGGTCGGGTGAGGCTGTGTTGTATTCGAGGGATGTCTGAAGTGGGCTTATAACTGAAAACGTGACTGTGCCGTCGTTACCCCGAAAAAAAAGG